TTCAAAACTGATTTATTGCTAGACCTCCCCACCACAGAATGAGTTTTGTTCCATCTTGGCCTTGAGTGACCTCCTGGCGTGCGAGCGCGGGCGCTGAACAGCAGGATTGGAGAACAAAGAGTTCCGGGGAAAATGCTCCGAGAGGTCAAAGACTTCATCTGGTTTATGAATCCCAGACAAAAGCATCCATCCTACTTCAGTAGATGGGATAAGTGATTGTAGACAAGCACTCAGAGAGGGCCACTAGCTTCAGTGGATTTTCTGTCAGAGCTCTCTCTAGTACAGAGAGCGTGTGATGAGGCACTGAAGTGTTTAATATTAGCAGAGTGGTGTTGTTCTAACCTTAAATCTCTCTTCAGGCTGAAGTACCCCTGAACCTGGGGTTGTGCAATGGTGCTGCTGCAAAAAAATAGTGTCATTCCACCTCTAGGTTGTAAATGAGCTTGAGCAGTGGGCATATGTTAGCACTGGGAAATATTCTGTTTATTCTGGTTCACCTCGTTCAGAAAAGTGCTGAGCTTTTCCAGCAGCTCTTGAAATTCCTGGAGTGGTGACATCCCCTTTCTTCTCTTGTGCTATTTCACTGACATCTGTAGAGTTACACTAAAACTGAATTGAATTGCTATTGTTAATGGCATATTGCTGTATGGCATCAATAATCTTCAGTCACTGGAACTCCCAGAGCTTGGCTTGGTTGCTTCAAGAAAGAAAGTGAAATGCTGACAAGCTTTTGTGGCTGATGGTTTGAAGGAGTTAGGGAGTCATTTTCATGTTGAGAAAGCAAAATCAAACACCTTTTTTCCCTAAAAAATACTTTGATTTTGTAATATTCTAGATGAAAAAAAAAAATCCAAGAAAAAGTACTTTTTGTCATTTTTGTAGCTTCATATTTGTCAGTTCAAGTGCTTGGGATATCCTCTGTGATGGGAGTTTATTTTTCTAGATGGGATTAAGAGATAAAATGTATATTTAGAGTTTTGATAAACAGTAGCAACCCATGACACAGAAATAAAAAGTCCCCAAAATATCTGAAGGACTTGAGCTCTTTTAGAACTTTTTCTCTCACAGTTTCTCCTTGAAACACTGCATCAATCTTTTTAGCTTGCTGTATTCCAAATAAATCAGATTTGAAATTTTAATTCAATATTCTTTTGCTTTAAAAGCCCTGTAGGAAACAGAATCTCAGCCAGTCAGAGCAGTGATGAGGCTTCTGTACCTGGGCTGGAAGGGTTTGCCCCTGTGGAGCTGTGGAGCTTTATCTTAGCATAAAAATTCCCAGAAAAAAAAAAGGATTTCCTCCCAGTTCTTTCAGAGCTACTTTATAGCTTCCTTGCATTGCTGGAGTGAATTTAGTCACTGAGGATTTAGATCTTTGAGCCAGATGTGTGCCTTGGTTATAGCAGAATCAGCCATTTCTGGAGTCCCCATATAACCCTGAGTAACCTGCAATATCTTTAGTGTTGCATATTCTCCTTTTATTTGGCAGTAAACCTTGGGAAGAGTTTAATTCAGAGAAACTGAATTAAAAGGAGTGAAAAGTAGGTAACCAAGCTGTGATACACTGATTACCTGTCTCCAATATTCTTTAAAATTTTAAATAACTTAAATAATTTAAAAAATAATTTTTAAATAATTCAAATTTTGAAATACTGCCTTTTTTCAAGAGGCAATAAAAAGAGTTTGCTTACTACCATGAACCAGCTGATTTTTGTTCCCTTGAATTCCTCTTTTGCTTGCTTTGAGCCATCCTGAGAGCTCTGCTTGGATGCCTTGTGTGAACAAGCACCACTCTGGTTTAGCAGCAATTGGCAGGATCAGGACCATCATTTTTTAAGGAACATGGATCAAACTCAGTCCTCAATGACCTCCCTGAGCCCATGGCCAAGGACAAGGTTATTCTGCTGTGTCCATTCCATTCCTTCTGCTGGGGGGACTCTAGGATGTGAGCAGGTCCTTGCCAAGGAAAGTAGAAAAGTTCCTGAGCCAGAAATGGAAACCACACTGCTGCTGTGTGGGAGTGGGAACCCCTTGAAGGCAGTCTCCAGATTTCCAAGTAAATCCATCCTCCAGCAGCTGCTGTCCGAGGCTGTGGTTCCTGGTGCCTGAGAAAGGGGAGGGCACGAGGCAGAGCGTGGCTCCCCACTGCTCACGGACGGCAAACCCCTCCGAAAACAGCAGATGTTTGGGGTTGACAGTGGGAAAGTTATATGCCTGTTTATTCTTTTATCTCAAGAATAAACACCATTTGGCACCAAGTTCCTCCCTGGTGGTTGGAATGAATTGCTAACCTGTCAGATGTAGGACAAGCCAGCCTGCAAGAGGGACAGCCTGCAGAACCTGTGGTGCTTGCAAGGAGTGTGCACTCACCTCTGAGCACCTCCTTCTCTGTCCCTTAGTGTGGTTATTGATGTGTGTGTGTGTGGAATTGCTGTTTCATACTGAGCTGGGGTTCTCAGAGAGCTCTCTGAAGGATATGGCTCAGCATTTTTCCACCTCTCAAAAGAGTCAGTGGAGTCTCACCTCTTCTGATCAGGGGGGATTTCTATTTATTTATTTAGAGGCATCCAGCCGTGGGAGAAGCCGGCACAGCCAGGATGCACCTGCCCATTCACACCCCTGTGCTTTGTGGTCACACCTGAGATTTTCGGTGTTTTCTGCATGAGATGATGCTGCACCCTCTGTTGGAACTCACAGTACACGGAGTTGCCATTGGAATGCATCTGAGGTTTCTAAGGGAAGTAGAGTGCCAGGTTGGTTTCTTCCCACCCATCCTTGGTGGCAGTGGTCAGCAGCCCTGCGTGCTGCCACTGTGCTGATCTCATGCTCTGCCCCAATTCCCCTTTGGCTCTGAGTTCTGCCCTTCACCTCATAGCTGCTCTCATTTTTGGTTGTGGTCCTGGTCTGGGATTTTGAGTCAGAGAACAAAGTCATCCCCTTGAAAGTGTTCATCATTTCCTCTCGATGATACAAACAGGGATCTGCCTTCTTCAAAGAAATCCCCCAGTATACCACAGCCTGTCAAGATCTAGGGTATTGCATGAGCAAATGCAAATTATCTGCAAGCTGACGTGCTGTTCATATACAAGTATGAAATAAAATGAAGTGTGATGCATGTTTAGCTCATCTTTAGGGGATGGATGGGGAGTATTTGGTATCAGGAAACTTAGAGGCTGCAGATGCCATGTCAGAAGTCTTACAGCCATGTGAGCCTGTGCCAGTGCTGGACCAAATTCCCTGTGCCACACAGCTTTGTGCTGAATGGGTTAATTTTGCACCATCTGGCTTTGTGCTAGATCAAATATTGTTTCTGTTGTGGTAGCCAACATGAGGCCAGAATAAGCTCAGAGTAATATCCTCAGCTAATCCAACAGAAATACGATTATGTACCTGTTCTTTCTCCATATCATATCTGCAATAATGGGTGATTTAGCAACACAAAATCATCCTTGTGGAGACAGGGGAGAAGACTGAGGGTGGAGCACTCCTGCTGGAAATACAGGCTCTGACAGCTGGGGTTGTTCAGCTTGGAGAAAATATATCTCTGGGGAAACTTTAGAGCCCCTTCCAGTGCCTAAAGGAAGCTGGAGAAGGAATTTTTACAGGGCCATGGAGTGACAGGACAAGTGGGGAATTGCTTCAAACTGAAAAAAAAGTGGTTTTAGGTTAGATGTAAGGAAGGAATTCTTCCCTGTGAGGGTGGGGAGGCCCTGGCACGGGTCACCCAGTCTCTGTGGCTGCCCCTGGATCCCTGGAAGTGTCCAAGGCCAGGTTGGACAGGGCTTGGAGCAACCTGGGATAGTGGAAGGTGTCCCTGCCCATGGGTAGGAACTGGATGGTCTCTGAGGTCCCTTCCAACCCAAACCGTTCTGTGATTCTGTGACTTGAGGGCTCTGGGTATCCTGAATGTGATGATCTCCTTGCACTAGGCAACAGAGACACAGTAGGAATGTCTAACTCAGATTATGTACTTAGCTTTAAACAAGTCATTATGAGACAAAAATTTGCAGTCCTAGTCCAGAATGGCTTCCTAGGGAATCACCTGAGACACAGAAATGGAGGTGATTTAACTTTGCATTTTGCACGCTGCAGTGACCTCTGAGGTGCTAATCTGAGGTTAAACAAAGCAGAACAGCTGGAGTTCTACTGCATTTTGAAGTCCTGCACATTTCAAGCAGTGAGTTCATTTTAGTGCTGTCTGGGAGGCTCTGCTGTTCCCCTGCTTGGCAGGAATCTCAAGACTAATACCTAAGAGGATTAGGGAGCATCGCTGGATGTTAAACAAGATCCAGGCTAAGCGGTGTGCACCAGTGAGCTCGTGCTCCCGGGGCTGTTTGGGGAAGCTGTTACTTGCTGATCTAGAAAAAACAAGTGGATTTGTGGGGAAATACCCTTCCCTCAGCTGAATCCTTGGTGTGTGTCTCATGCTCCCACCTGGCTCCGTGTTTCCTCCACCTGCCCATCTCCTGTTGTCCTGTGCTCACTGCAGTGGTGTGTTGCAGGAGGTGCCAATGAACAGCAAGTTTCTTTTTCTGTGGTGATTTTAGCTCTTCTAATGTGCTCCACTGAGCTCTGTGTAGCCTGGTTGGTCATGAATGAGTGGGCATCCAGCCCACCAACACAGGGCTGAGCTGGAGAGCTTGTCATAGAAAGCTCAAGCTAAAGTCTGTCCTTAGCTGGTAGAGCAAAATGACCTTGTGGTATGTGATTTTCCCCAGAAAGTGCCCTCAGTGCAAAGAAGAAGGGTTGGAAGGCAATTGTTTCTCAGGAAAAAGTGAAGTTTTAGGTAGTTTCATGGTAACATTCCATCTGGTTTTCCTTTTTGTTTCTACCTTCATATTGATCAAACCATAAGGATTAAAAAGTGTAAGTGGCTGTAAACCATGGTAGATGTCAATATTATTGAAATACATCTGTTCTGAACACAGCATCCTTGGGTTGTGTAACACAGGATGTTGCATTTTTTGCATTTTAGTGCTTCTATCTTTAGAAACACCAGAGAATCACATGTCTCACATTCTTTATTTGGGTTTTGCTCATTTTGTTTAATTTCTTACATCATAAAGGATTTGCCTGAGTCTGCATCTTCTGCTTGGAAACAAAGAGGAGACAGCTGTAGGAACTAACTGGTAATCCTTGGGAAGAGCTGACCAGCAGCTCATGCAGAAAGAGTGTGCTGAATACAGAACATTCTTTAATGGGTTGTAAGAATCCAAATGGTGGAAAATTACACCATGCAGGGCTAGGGGCTGGGAAAATGCTGGTGGTGTATCTGGAAACACCCAGCTCCATGGGCAGTGACAGGGATGGAGAGCACAGTGCTGTGCCAGCATGGAAACCTTCCCAGCAATGGCCAAATGTATGGGTAGGAAAAAGACATTAAAGCAAGAGTGACATTAGGGAGAGAGAGTTAGGAATTATGGCATAAAAGACTCTTTTGTCTGGTTAATCTGTGCTATGGCAAAAAGCAGTGCCCAGGTTAAAACTGCTCCATACATTGGCACTGCAAGTTTTTAAAGATGGTCTGAGGCAGCTGCAGCCAATTGTATTTGCACAGATAAGCTGGAACAAGTAAATAGACTCAGAAAATCTGGCTAAATTTATCTTCAAAGCATTTTCAAGCAGCTAATTGAAAATTATCCAAGCCACCTTCCTGATTTCTTGCATATAATTGCAATAATTTCCCAACAAATGGAAAGCACTTGGAAAACAAACACAGGGTTTGTGACTGCTAAGCTCTACTATTTGGAATTTATGTAATTATAAATATGTCCTTGCTCATGTGATAATTCAAAGCCAGTTTCTGCTGCTCTCTTCCATGCTTCAGATTCCAGTAGGGCTAATCATGTAAAAGCAGGTCTCTGACATGAGGGGTGGCTCAGGATATTCCTATTGCCCCCCATTCCTAGGACATCCCCCCTCATCCTCTGTCTGTCCCTGCAGCACTGCTGGTGAGCACAGCATTCAGTACACAGTCATCTGGTTGCTCTCTGGGTGTGTTTCTCACTCCTGAACTTTTCCATGTGTGCAGGACCATGCTGTTCCCACAGGAATTGCTTACCAAAGGCTCCAGTCCGGTCCTGGTGCCAATCCCACAATAGCAGCATCCTCTTTATTGCTGATTCAAAGGGATGCTTTTTAAAAGTGGGCTAAAAGTGTCAGGTTTACACGTGGTGTGAGCTGGGTGAAGTTCCTCTGCTGCCAGGAAAACAGTTCAGTGTTACTCAGAACAACTCACTCGTCCCATACTTGCTTTTATCTGCCTTGCACTGAAGCAGTGCCCTAAGGACAAGCCCTGTTCACAGGACTGGGATGTGGATTTATCTCACTTCTGGGAGGCTTCCCCACTCCTAAGGCAGCCAGTGGATTACCCTTGATCCATATGGTGTTTATCAGCCATGACAGAAGGAGTGCTGCTAATCCTCTGAAGCCAAACTCTCCAAGGAAAATTCAGTGTGTGTTACCAAGAGAAGTTGAATGGACATACCCAGATGAATTTATCCCTTGCTGCAGTAATATGAGCTTGGTACTTGGATGTGGACTTTCCCAGATTCTAGGTACTTGGTCAGTAAGTCCAGGCTCACTCACACATTGAGGAAAATAAAAATAGAGGAAGCCCAGAGGAAAATGAAGGAGACCCATCACAGGTACAGAAGCATTGCCTGGGGCTGCTCCTCTTCTGTTTGCAGCACACTTCCAGGTCATTTTTAATCCCTTACCCCTGATCATTAGGAAATATCTCCATCTATGCAATAGAACTGAAAAAATACTAAGTCTACTCATAAACTGTACTCAGCTGTGGAAAAGCAGAAATTATGTATAGATGTTATTTGCCACAATAATACCATAGAAAAGTCAAAAACCGTAATGTGGAAGGGAAGATTAACTATTATTGGCCATGTTTCAGCAAATGGGATTATTTTGCATGTCAGTTATGAGTTAATTTGCAACATTAATCTCATCACAATCCTTGGCAGAAATACAAAATGTTTTTAATTGGTCCTGTGACTTTTTAAACGATCACCTGATGAAAAGCTTGTAAGTTTTACTATTGACTTAATGCTAAATATTATGGGGGGGGGAGGTCTTTACAGATTTCATCAGGAAATACAAATCATATGCTTTCATTGCCTTGCTGCTTCTGCTGTGTTGACTCGATAATGTTGGCACTCTGGAACCAGCTGTACAGTGGAAAAAAAAAGTAGAAATCTTGCAGCAAAATGAGGAAATCTATGGCAGAGAGATAATAGCATTGGGTCTGATTCAGTGTAAGCAAGAAATCACCCGCTGAGTCATTAAAAACAGAGATGAATGGGAGGCAATAAATGGATGGCTCGGAAGAATATGAATGATTAGGAAGTGCATGAAGTTGCTTGGTTTTTTTTTTCCCTTGAAGATTATACTTTGTCCTCTAAAGTGGCATATGGCTCCCGTGAAAGCTGATACCCACAGTGAATGTGTCTCAGTCAGTTTATAAATACTTCAAGAGATGCCAAGCAGCTCGGGGGACAGCGCAGAGCAGGAGTGGGCGCCCTGCCCACGGCACCTGGGCACGAGTCATTAGCCCAGGTCCACTGGGATGTGTACAGGAGGGGGATGTTGGGGCTGAGAAGCCTTCTGGGTGGGGGGAAACATCTGCTGCCTAGAGGAAAGGCTGGCTGCTTTCTTGGAAGTGTTTCACCCTGTTTGCTGTTAACTCGCACTGACAGTGGCAGGAGTTGGAGGGGGGATGATGTGGTCACCTGGGTCCAGTGGCTCAGCCTGCTGCTACCAGGGAAATAAAAGCTTTGATGAAGAGCTGTAATCTCTTTCCTGACTTATGAAATACCAGAATATCAATATAAATTCATGAGGTATCAGAGGAGAGATCCCAGTGTTTAAGGGAGTCTTTCCTCCAGGGTGAAAGTTTGGGAGCTCACGACTCCTGCTTGCATATCAGGTAAGAACAGAGATGTGCTTTTTTTGTCTGCTGAAATCAGTGAGAGCAAAATCAATCCCCAGCCAAGAAACCTTCTTTACAAGTGCAGTCAAGTGTAACATCAGACATGAGTCTGATACAAGTTTGATAGGAGGAGGGTGCAGCTGCAGTCCTGGCTGCTGTGCAAGGAGGCGTTTGATTTACATGAGTATGAACCATTCCGCCCCTTAGAGCCTGATTCAGCGCCTAATAATCACTTCTGACTTTAACAGAGTGCTAAAGCAGGCTTATTTATTGCTTCCAATATTGCATCCAAAGATGAGAAGCAGATTTAGAGCTGTAAGAGTCATAAGAACACTGGAGAGGCAAAAAAAGTGGAAAAAATAGAGCCTTGCACCAAGGCATAATTTTTTTTTGTGCCAGCACATTACAAGTATGTCTCTGCAGCAAAATTTCAACCCCTGCAGTCAGTTTTTACATTTACACTTTACACATTGAAGTTACCTGGCTGTACTTGGCCAGCTAAGGTAGGAGTTACCTGGAGGAGTCCAGTGTGGAGCTGCAAAGCAGTGCCCTCCTGCCCACCAGGCTCACCTGCCCTGCGCTGTCATCAAATCCCTGCTGGAATCTGGACCTTGAAATAGGAAATAGTCCATGCACTCTGCTCCCCAGACAGGGTAATTAAGATAAAATCATTTGCAAATGAAAGTTGGACCTCATTTGTTTAACCTACTTTGAGGACCAGATGTGTTGTAGCAGTACTGACGTGAATGTTTAGGATTTGGTAGCACACGTGGGATGTCCTCTGCCCTTCTGGGGTGGGAGCAGCACCTTCTGCTCAGTCCTGCCTCAGTGCCTGCAAGACCTGCTGGTGCAGAGAATCACATATGTTTAACAAAGTCAATAATATTTTACAGCAACACACAGATAAGTATTAAAGTCTTCACCAAAGGCTGCAATATTCCCAGGTTACAGCCATCTGAACACAGTTCATTTTATCAGGGAAAAAAAAATCCCTTTTTCCCTCTTCCATGCTGATGAGGCTGTCATCTCAGGGGGAACATTTTTGTGGGAACTTCTCGAACAGATATTGGCAAAATTATTGAGAAATACAAGATGCTTTCTAATAAAAGAGTTCTCGCCTAGCATTTGTTGCACATTTAAGACCAGTGTTCAAGGAAGAACCTTATTATTTTCATCATTTATAGTTCAGCCAAGGCATTTAAGGAAAAATACTCTTGGTTGCTGGCACGGTCAGGTGCTGCAATGCACAGGAACAGGGTGAAAGAAGGCAGTCTGCATCAGTAATCAGGTTAGAATCAGCTGCCTCTGCCCTCCAGCCTGCTCTGAAATGGCATGTAGTCTAATTAGTTATAGAAAGGATTTTACTGAATAGTTGTAAACAGATCTGAGGGCTTGGAATAAAATCAATCTGACTGTGGAAACTTTTCAGGATAATTATAAACTGTTACTGGCAGAAAGAGAGACCAAAGGACTTCTAGCAGTGGGAAACTTGTAGCTGTGTGGGCTGTTCTCCGCCAGGAGAAGAAGGGGGGATGGAGGTGGTGGGGATGTCACCAGGTTTTTATCAGAGGAGGGATAAGGGGCTTCAGTCAGTGAGGACACTGCCTTTGAGGTGCTTTTCTTTTAAGGCTCTCGAATTTCTTTTCTGTAATGTTAGTGATGCCCTGACACCTGAAGTACCAACACATCCCAGGGTGGAAGGCACACGACCAGGTGAACTGCACAGTGAAATGATTATACTTGTTTACAAAAAAAGAAAAAAAGAAAAAGAAAAAAAGAATATTTGAGGGGTTTGAGCATGGTTTTATATAAAGGCATGTAAAAATTCTCTTTGCACAGATCAGAATGGTCTTGGCTCAGACCTTCGCTGTCTCCCTACTGAAGTAAGTGCTGAAAATTGCATCTCCTGGACAGGCTGGTCCTCGCTGCCCTACAGAGCCACCCTGGCCAGCAGCCCCCCTCAATCCACTGCCGGACTCCGCATTCCCATTCATGGCAATGCCCCAGAACTCCACCAGAGAAAATGGCTTTTGTTTCGCCCAGCCCCTCGACTTCTCCTGCCCGTGCCCCGGCCCTGGCGAGGCGGGCAGGCCGCTGGCTGCAGCTGCTGCCAGGGATGGCCACAGCACGGCCCTGAGCAATGGCAGCGCCTCCTCGGGGGCTGCCAGCCCCTCCGAATCCTGCTCCCAGCCCCTCTGCTCGCCCGCCCCGCCCGAGGAGGACACGCCGCTGCAAGAAGGGATTAAATACGTGTCTGCCGAAGGGGAGGAACTGGCCTGCGGCTGGGGGGGCTTCACCCCCGGCTGCTTGCAGCTCTGCAACACGTCCAAAGGGGTCTTGTTCTTCCTCTGCGTGGCCTCTTTCCTGCAGGGCATGACGGTGAACGGCTTCATCAACACCGTCATCACCTCCATCGAGCGCCGCTTCGACCTGCGCAGTTACCAGAGCGGGCTGATCGCCAGCTCCTACGACATCGCGGCCTGCATCTGCCTGACCTTCGTCAGCTACTTCGGCGGGAACGGCCACAAGCCCCGCTGGCTGGGCTGGGGGGTGCTGCTCATGGGCCTGGGCTCCCTGCTCTTCGCCCTGCCCCACTTCACCACGGGGCAGTACGAGGCACGCTCGGCTGCCCTGGTGGGCGTCTGTGGGGGCAACCAGAGCCTGCCCTGCTCCCAGGCTGCCTCCAGCCTCTCCGGCTACAGGTTTGTCTTCATGCTGGGGCAGTTCCTGCACGGGATGGGAGCCACGCCGCTCTACACGCTCGGTGTCACCTACTTAGATGAGAACGTCAAGACCAACTACTCCCCTGTGTACATTGGTGAGTGGGGCTGAAGGGACAGCGGCAGGGTGGTGGCACAGGGAGAGGTGATGGTACCTCTGCCTTGGCCAGCCCACACTGGGAGCGCCTCTCCCGACACTGCTCAGCCTTGTGTTCCCTTTGAGGGGAGAGGTGGAAATCAGGCAGCTGTGGATTTATTTATTTATTTATTTATTTATTTATTTATCTATCTATCTATCTATTTATTTATTTATTTATTTATTTATTTATTTATTTATTAATAGCTGTTTTGATTATTTACCAGGAGGAAAAGCGTGAGCTCTGTGAGTTGGGTGTAGATGGGGAGTGCCTCCCGCTCCAGGCACGGCACCAGCCCATTAGCATCACTGGCAGACAGCCATGAGGCCATACCCCCATCCCTGCAAGGGGGCTTAGGATCACAGCATGATTTGGGTGCAAAAGGACCTTTAAAGGTCACCTAGTCCAATGAGAAGGGACACTTGCAACTCAATCAGGTAGCTCAGAGACCCATCCGATCCGACCTTGAATGTTTCAAGGGATGGAACATCCACCACCTGTTTGGGCAGCCTGTGCCAGTGTTTCATCACCATCATTTAACCTAAATCTTTAGATCATCATCCCTTCAGGCCTCAGCACAGCAGGGGTGGTCACTGGGCTGCTCAGCTGCTGCTGGTGCAAAGCACAGCCAAGAGAAGAGGCTCAGCTCGCTCCTCCGTGTCCCTGGTCACCCAGCAGCTGCCAAACGCTCACAGTCCTCCTGGTGAAAGTGCCCAAAGGGTGATCTTTTAGTAATTTGAAAATGTATCAGTCTGTCCAGGCTGTATCAGAAGGCTGTGTAGTGAGGGAAGGAGATCACAAGAGATGATCAGCAAGTTGATGGTTTAAACAGCAAACTGAAATAAGTGCCAGTGGTGCTGTGTTTGGTGTAGACAGTGGTGTTGTCAGTGGGGAGAGAATCCTGCTGCTCACTTCTGTGGCTCAGGATGTGGCAGTGGGATCAGCTGCATCACTGCTAAATATGGTTTATTTCTGAACCAGTTTTGCCTGCCCCATACTGTAAAACTTTCCAGGTTGGAAGCAAAAGCTTCCCTAGAACAGAAGCATGAGAGGACAATTCATTGGAGGGATCTGGGTTTGTGTCTTGGTGGTTTAGGGGGAAGGGTATGAGGCAGCCAGAGGCTGAGCATCCTGCATCCAGGAGGGAATCGGGCTGGGGATCCCTGGCTGACGTGTTGCTGGTTGTCTGACACCACTTGTTTTCCCTTTCAGCTGTTTTCTACACTGCTGCAATCCTTGGGCCTGCAGCGGGTTATCTGGTAGGAGGAATGTTTCTAAATATTTATACTGAAATTGGCAGAGAGTAAGTCGTTAAAAAATAATCTTGTTCCTTTTCCTTTCTGCTCTGTGTTTCCTTTGGGGTAGAAAAAAATAATAACAATGATCTGGAGCAATGAGCTGGTGGCTGGGTGGAACTGTGCCTGGGGTGTTGGGTGGTGTGTCTGCAGGAGGGGGAGGCTGGGAGGGTGGTTTGCATTAGTGCTGCTGCTGGAGGGAAATTGCTGACAAACCTGTCAGCTTAAATCCCTCCTCACGCTGCACTGCCTGTGCTAATGAGGCTGTGAGCAGCAGGTGAATTTTTTGAATGAGTTCCCTGATGAAGTAGTCCTCCCAGCAGTGCTGCTTGCCCTCCCAGTCATCCCACCAGGATGCTTTGTAATATTTGTAATTTATTCTTGTTTCCTTACACGCTCTTTGGTAGATCATAGAATCACAGAGTGCTTTGGGTTAGAAGGGACCTTAATGATCATCTAGTTCCAACCCCTCTGCCATAGGCAGGGACACCATTTACTAGACCAGATGAATGGATTAAAAAGGGGGAATGGCTTTCCAGGGGAAGAAATTGGTTATTTCCTCCGCTTTTCTTGCAAAGGGTGTTTTTGGGGTGGAGCAAGGATCTTGGAAACCCTCAAAGCACAGCTGAAAAGGAGTGAGGTGAATGTGCAAACCTGAGGTTAAATGGGAATGAAATGCTGTGATTTCCTGGGCTTGTGTTGTGCCCCGGTGAGGCAGTGCTGTGCTGTGCAGGAAGGATGGAGGACGTGGCATCCATCAGATCACTCAGTTTCCTCCACTGTCACCCCCCATGCCCCCCTGTCCCCTGCCAGCCTCAGGCAGAGGCACACGGAGCTGCCCCGCTCCGTCTCCAACCTCTGCCTCTCTCCCTTGTGTCCCTTTACTTTGCTCCTTGCAGGATTGACATCGCCCCCGAGAACACGCTGTGGGTGGGGGCCTGGTGGATCGGTTTCCTGGGGGCTGGAGCCGCCTCCCTGCTCATCTCCATCCCCATCCTGGGCTACCCCCAGCGCCTCCCAGGTACGGAGCTGCTCCGCTCGGGGCTCGGGGCTCGGGGCTGCGCTGTGCTCCCGCTGGCCCCAGGGCTTCCATCCTCATGCACGTGTGGAGCAAAGGAAGAGCTTCCTGTGTTTTTGAGTTGTAATTCCTAAATGGATTTCACCCCTTTGGCTTTCCATCTGCCTGTGTTACTGCTCCTCCCTCGCAGCTGTTGGTGGAAGGAGGATGTCACGTTGCGTTTTTCCCCCTGCAAATGCACGGCTTCAGGAGCATCCCCATCCCGTGTCTGACAGGCTCCTCGTTTCCTTTGCCTCTCATTTTCAGGATCCCAGCGCTACATCGTTATGAGGGTGTCAGAGGCTCATCAGCTAAAGGATGGGAGCCACAAAAAAGCGTCGGATCCAGATTTTGGGAAAACAGTGAAAGATCTGCCTCGGTGAGAAAACCACCCCACACAGAGATTAGGGAGCCCTCTGCAGAGGGGAGAGGAATGAGCCTAAGCTGAGCTTCCCTTCAGCCCTGCCAGCCCAAAGGTTTTGCCCTTCCTCAATCAATGACACTTTCTTGCAGAGGAGGTGTCAAGGTGCCCGGTGCTGTCACAGTCGGGGATCTCTTGGCAAAGAGGCTGAACAGAGCTGGTGCTGGGGAGCCCATGGGGGAGCAGGGCACAAGTGGCTGGTCCCATCTGGGTTTTCTGAAGCTCATGTCCACCTGCAGTGCTGTGCCACACACTGAGTTTCGCTGAGAGTGGGTTGATGCCAAGCTTTAGATGATGGGAGATGCCCAGGCATTGCCTCCCTCCCTGTCCCCAGCAGCATTATTTCTGCCTGCCTGCTTCTGCCTGGCCTCACCTGGCCCAATTGCATGTTTCCAACAGCTCCTGCTCTCCAGCCCCTCGGGGCTCTATTTCTTTCCTCTATTTTTACTTGTCTTAGATCCCTGTGTTGTCATTTTTAATGAGAAACGAGATTAAACAGGCCCTGTGGTTCTCACAGCTCATTCCAAAGCCAGGGAACAAGATACAGCACACTGTAACTTTCAGTTCCCTCACTCTTTTATTCTTGGCTTCCTTTTTTTTCCTTTTGCCTTCACATCTTCCAGCCACCTTTTATGTTTCACTACTTCTTATCTCTCCAGCAAGGCAGTGACACAGCAACTTGCTTAATCCTGAGCTGCTGCTCAGCTCTGTGGT